GCCAAGTTACCTGTCAAATCAGTGGAGGAGCAACTCCGCTCATAGTTCAAATCCCTTTTTTTCTAGGTATTTTTCAGCTAAAAACCATGTGTAATTGAATAAATATAAGGTAGAGTTGTTTAATGTCCTACTGTGGAACTTTCCAGGTAGAGCAGTAATACAAAGTAATACAAAAAACAAACAAAAACAAACAAAAAAAACAACAACATAAAAACTAGTGCTGTCATGCGTATTTGTAATTAATTAATCTAATTAATCTCTTTTTAATCTCACCTAAAAATTGCTGAGAAAAGCCTTCAATTTGAGGTATTTTCATTTAAATTCATTATTACATTATTGTGACAGATCAAAAGACTGATATAGAACAAAAAAAAGTGACTTTATAAAGTCATTTATTGTTTAACAAATCTCTCCAAATTGGCTGTTGAGCCCAAGTCTCCATGAATAAGAAACTGTTTGCTGTAAAGTAGCAAAGACCAGGAAATCTGAACATAATAACTTTTGTCTACTTAAAGACAATAAAAAGTCCAGTCTTTCCTTAACCATATTAAAAATATTATTGATAGAGAAATGCTTTATATATGAGATCACTGGTTTTAGTCCTGGTTTTAGTCCTGGTGTTAGTTCTGGTTTAGACCTGGTTTAGACCTGCTTTTAGTTCTGGTTTAGTTCTGGTTTAGTCCTGGACTGGGTTAGTCCTGGTTTTAGTCTTAGTGTTAGTTCTAGTTTAGAGGTGCACAAAAGGAAACGCGGTTTACGCAGCGTACGCGAGAAAAGTGTCTACAGAAGGAAACGTGGTCCGCGCGTTCTCAGGTTAATGACGATGAAGGTGTGTGTTTGTGTTTGTTTGTGTGTGTTTGTGTGCGTGTCCCCTCATGTGGCAGGTCACTATAGGACAGTAGTGCAGACATCATGAGCCTATGCAGGTTGTTTTCACTGGTGACATTTAAGCTGTAGGCAATTTTATATTTGTTATTTTCTTTTATATTTCACATCGGGAGAATAATTTCCCAGACACGAATGTGTTTTTACCTGTCCACTGCTGCCTCAGTTCTACTGGCTCTTCGACCTCGTCCATTGTGCGACTGACGCCGCCAACGTTAACATGACGTTTACATCGCTCTTACTGCGCGCGTTCTGTTTGGGTTTCCGGCAATGAGTGGAATAAAAAAATTATAAATGTGTTTTTTTGTGTGTGTTGTTGTCCCAACAACACATAAAAACAGATTTTATAATAAAGCAACTCACATACAGAAACAGTAAAGTTAGAGATTTAAAATGAGATTAACGCGATTAAAAAACATAACGCGCTAAATGACTGTAATTAATTAATCGCAATTAACGCGATAATTTGACACCCCTAATAAAAACATTATACAAGTTTAATGCCATACTATGGAAAAGCAACATCACCATGTGAAAAGTAGGTGGACTCTCCCTAGAAAAGTTGCATAATGCACCTTTAAAATATGGTTGTACATGAGCTTTTCTATATTTACATCCAATTATTTTAGAATGCTGGTATGATTCACAGCTAGAAGGTTATGAGTATGAATACAGAGTTATGTTTCTACAATCTCTGCACTACTATTTGATCTGGAAACGTTCGCCTTCCATATGTCCCTGATACATTATAGATACAACCGTCGTATCTACACTTGACGCTTATGGAAAAGTAAATAAACTTTATGTGAAAACTCTGGCGGCATCTTGTACATTTCATATTTGCCCCCCTATCTTTAGATGCGTCCTTTTCCAATTCCTTTGCATTATGACACAAAAACAGAAAACATAATACATTCTGGGCTTATCTGTCAAAAAGGATACAGTCTAAGATACGGTACCGCATACAAAACAAGAGCATAGGCCAAACTGAGAAGGATATTGTATGAGAATGAATATACTCTAGTGAACTACAGGCTTCTAAACTAAAAGATCAACAGAAAAATTGTTATAATAGAGATCAAAAAGGACTTAAAACTTAAAAAACATTTTTCCGATCTATGTTCAGCCTTGAAATTTCCAGTCTCTATAAAAAGTTATAAAAAAGTGATAAAAGGTACCTGTTAACTTGACAACTGCAGCTTCATGGCGTCACAAGGTCATTCTGAGCTTTGAAGATGTGGGCAATAATAAAGAATTACTCAAACACGTATGAATGAAACAAAACACAACTCCAGGTAGTTTTTTAATGAGGTAACAAGATTATAACATGTATAACATGGTTTAAAGCTCTTGTGTAAGACTGGGTACCATTAAGAAGTTGCTGTTACAATACACATCTCGATACATAGGCCACAGTGCGATACATATCTCGATACAGTGTTCTTTAGATTCGATACGGTTCAATAAAAAAAAAATTCTAAATCATAGTTGTGTTACTAAAATCTTTGTTAAACCACATATTGCAAAAAGTTAATCTGAAACACACACATTTTAATCATCAAAACAGTGCATATGTCAAATGCGTTGCATAAACAAGTTTCATTCCTCTGAACAAGCAACAAAACTGTAGCGCTGTAACAAAATAATTTGGTAAAATATACCAAAAAATACTCATGATATCAAGACTGTATTATCACATTAAACGATACAATGTCAATATTTTGCACACCCCTACTCACAAGAGTCAATTTTACTTAATATAGGCCCTTTAAACATGGTAAAAGATTTTGGCTGACATTTGAAGACATAAATTGTATAAATCCAGCTCATATCGTAGCATGAGGCTAAGATAACTGTGCCATTCAAAAACCTGAGCCCTTGGTGCTAATGGTACGCACTCAGATGTCAGATTAACGCTCATTTAGTCTCAGCGGGATCTTCAATTACCAATGATTAACATCCCCCATCCCAGTCACTTTTAACACAAACAGCAACATGTGGAGAAATGCCCACAGACACTACAGGTGAATGGTAAAAAGGTTAAAATCATCATTAAGGGCTGACACTTCAGATTTCACATTCACAACTCGAATAAAGTGTCAAATCTGAGAACAAACCTGGAAAATATATTGAATTTATGTAATACTTTTTTTCCCACAAAGGCTTAACAGGGATTTTCTGGTTTACAGGTATTTTTGCCTTCATTTATAAAGCGTACTTTTCTCTTGGCATGTTATGGTTTAGTGGTCAGCAAAGACCACACATTTTTATGACAAAGATGTTATGGTCTGGAGAGGCAGATTAACAAATCAGAGAAATGCACGCTTCGTTTGTGTCAAAACAAACATGGTGGCTCACGAGAAAAACACAAAACAAAACTAAAAACACTGAGGACTGAGAAACTGCACCGATTTCTTCCAAAACAACAAACAAAGCACTAAACACTCTATAAATCTGATGTGAAACAAGTCATATATTTTGTTCTGAATCCTATGAGAATACTCGAGTAGTGAGGGGTCTACTGCACTCTGTGGACCCTCCTGTATTCCAAAACAGAAAATAAAAGATAAACTTATTTTCTGGGGTCAAAAAAGTCAAAACCAAAACTAAATGACTAAGAAATCACATATTTTTGATTCACCATAAATTTTTGGTATCCTGCATATTTAGGTTGAGTTCTCTCAAACAAAAAAGACTCTACTTTGTGATGTCATGTGGCAATACAGGAAGTGCTCCACTGTGTTTTTAAACTCCATACACCTTCACTAGAATCATTTGGATGCTTTCAGACCTGGATTTGCCTCACTCTACACAAAAGCTAAAAGGAACCTGTTCATTTGAAAACTTCCACTACATAACATCTCAAAATGGAATAAAAATGACAATATTGCTGCTGCACTGGATCAAAAACTTACACATACAGGTGCTCATCATACCAAAAACTAAGTAGTCGAAACACATTGGCACAACTAAACTGGTGTGACTATTAATAAATACACCGCATCGGAGTGCCTCTGCCATCCTTTTTTCCATCTCAAAATGGAATGTTTGAAGGACGGTCGGTAATTGTGGACATAGGACCTCATTTCCTAGTGAGCCAGAGACGTGTGGAGACACTTTTTAAAATATTCCATCCAGTCCTTGTATTTGCAGAGGTCGCTTGTGCTAGGCTAGTGCATGTCAATGGCCATAGTTAACCAGCCATTAAAAACCAGTCTTACCCACTCCACAAAACACCCGAAGCAAATCTATTATTACCCAGACTGTCGATGTAAATGTCTGTGTTGATAGAATAATGTTTGAAATAAAAATAACCTTGCATCGCATGAATTGTCGCATATTGAGGGACTATTTTCTCAGCAGCAGTGGAATTTTACTTTGGCGGTAAGATAGGTGCTAGGTGATATCAGTCCGCCGCTGCCAAACTTTCTATCAGGAATTACAGCTCAGTACTGCTGTTCAGACATAAATCCTTCAAATGCAAGATTGGTTTTACTTCTAAAATAATTCTATCGACACAGACATTTACAACAACAGTCTGGTGTAATAACAGATTTGCTTCAGGCTAACTATGGCCATTGACATGCACTAGCCTAGCACCAGCGACCACTGCAAATACAAGGACTGGATGAAATAGTGGAAAAGTGTCTCCATGCGTCTCCAACACTATGTCCAAAATTCTGGACTGTCCCTTTAAAGCTCACAAGAATCAGTTTTGCGTAACATAGGACCTTTAAGCCAGCAATGACTTTTTCCAATCTAACCTCTTCAGTCTTTTTTTTTTTTTTTTATTATAATACATACTTAAATCCTGTCTCATTATATTCTGAAAGGATGTTTTTTCCAGACATCGAAACAGAAGCAGATACTGAGCTCTGCGGTAACCTGATAAAGCAGAACAGTCTCTCCATTAAACCAGAGCACAGGTTATGATTTAATTTGTTGCCAGATAAAACAGTCCAGACTCTGCTCGCACCTGCTGCTCGCCGCTCTACACACTCACTGCAAATCGTACATTTTCAAGCTGCCTTTCTTCACAGTATTTTGAGATTTGAAGTTTTTGGCTTGGTGAACCCGGGTTACTTTAAACAGGAGATTGTCAGGACACGACTTACCAGTTTTCTTTTTGGAATCGGGCAACTTGAGAAAGGACCGTCAGGAGGTTGGTTCAAAGGGTCCAAAGATCTGCTGAAGAATGGCAAATGTTAGTAGAGTTTTGGGATTTGAAAGTTCACAACACTGCAGGACAAAGTATCAACAAAGACTGTATAAGGACGGTGATAATAGTGAAGAGCCCTCCAAACACAAACTCAAAATTGACCACTCACATTTTCTATTTTGTTGATTTAGTCCTGATGTAGACTCGGTTTGGTCCTGTCATAGTCCTAGGTTTGTGTGGGTCTAGTCCATCTTTCCTGGTTTTGTGCACACGAATTACCTCATCACATGCTTTGTTTTGAAAGTGAAACCAATTTTGAACACAGAATTCACCACAGTCACACCGTGTGTAAAAATGTAGCTTTGATTTGATGGCGGGAGCTTGTCATGTTGCATTTGCATTAACAGGCTTTGGAGCTGGAAGAGACAGGTAGTCCGCTGGTAAGCATATATGTTATCCTACAATATACACATACACACACACACTTGGGCCGGCACACACCAGCTTGCTGCTTATCTAAGTGTGACTCTGTTGGGGAGGATTTAAGGGGCACCAATGATCATGTTCATAGAAGCGTTGAGGGGAAAAATAGAATGTGTGTGAGTGCATACAGTTCAAGGCCCTACTGCGGCATATAGGGCCCCTAAGCCTGACTGCACTGCTTAAGCCCCTGGTGATGTGAGGCTAGAGCTAACCTGAGAGAGAGAGAGCCCAGACAAGAGTGACACCTACAGGCTGTATAAGCAGCAGTTATTATAGGGGATTAGTGGTTTTAAAGGGCGTCATATTACACTATTTTCTGATCTATGTTACAAGGTTGTTTCCTCATCACAAACATACCTGGAGTTGAGTCTTATTTCATCACAGATGTTTAACACAGAAATGCTGCATATTTAGGCTGTGTTCTTCTCTCAAATAGAAAACAGTTCCACTCAGTTCCACCTTGTGATGTCATGTGGTAATACAGGAAAAGTTCTTACTCTATACACCTTCACTAGGGCTGCTCAATTATGGGAAAAAAATCATTATCACGATTATTCTGGTCAATATTGAACTCACAATTATTCAAATGATTATTCTTTAGTTAATAATCAGTACCATAGCTCATACTCATTATGCACATTAGGCACAGCGTGTAGGGCACCAAGTTCTTGCAGGGGCACCACATGAATCCTTGCAAAACTACGGTCGCCGCGCCCCGGTCCTAACTTTCACCGGCACGTAAATCGTTTCAACTTGATTTGGAGATACTTTGACACACAAATTGAAATGGCAATCAAAATTCAATTCATTGCAACCTTCACTAGAATCAATTTCAGCCCTGGAATTGTCAATCTCTACCAAATTAAAAAGGTAAAAGAAGCTATTAACTTCAAAACTACAGCTTCATGACATCACAAGGTGGAACAAAGCATTTTGAGCTTCGGAGATGTAAACAGACTAATAATACATTCAACGTGAATGTAACAAAACACAACTTCAGGTATGTTTTTGATGAGGAAACAACATTATAAGACAGAACATATCAGAAAACATCAGAAAATATAGTAAAATTGTCTCTTTAATATGCCCTGTGGAATGCCCAAAGTGATTAGGAAAAGCTCCCATCCTGAGTTAGCAAGTGAATACATGAAAGACTGAATAATGGTGACTGGCTGTTTGCATACCTCATAACAGGTGTTTATGAACTTCCAAAAGCACTTAACACAGCAGACTTCTTTCTGTTAATATAGTCGTGTACGTCTTCTACAATTTGACTTTTAAATAAGACACATATTGCTTTTAAATGAAGATGAATGGCACGAGGTATTAAAGTACGTTAATTTCGATCATAACTCACTCCTCACTGCACTCTGTTGGCGTCGACTAGTGCCACTGAGGCCTGCGCTCTTGTTGGATCGGTGATGTTTTTCTAATTACTCTGAAAAATGACGACGGACCAACCAAGCAAGCACGCCGCAACTAGGTGCCAAGACATACATCAGTCTAATAGGCTCAAATGGCTTTAATATATGCCACCGTGTTGCGTTCATGGATCAGCGGCATCGCCTTTTGAAAATCAATATGGGAGCAGAGTCGGGACAGAGGAGATGCTGCGTTCAATAAACACGCGCTGACGACTTTGGGTTTTGAGTGTTAATCTTTCCCCAACCCGGCGCGGCAGAGAACGGTAATTGGCAGTAATTGCAGAAACATTAAGGCGTGAGATGGAGACAGGAAGTGTGAGATATGTGGTGTGTAAAGCATGTGGGGGTGTGTTTTGTAAAGACAGCCCGATGCAAAATGCAGACCCACAATGTGTCAAGTGGGAGGTACATGCAACTGGACATTTTATCACTAATATGGGGTTTTGTGGATGCTGTGCTTAAAGGGCCTGTATTAAGCAAAATTTAAACCATGTCACAATGTTGTTTCCTCATCAAAACATACAGGAGTTGTGTTTTGTTTGAATAATATTAATAGTCCATCTACATCTCTAAAGCTCAAAATGCTCTGTTCCACCTTGTGATGTCATGAAGCAGTAGTTTTTAAGTGAACAGACACTTTTTACCTTTTGTTCAATGGAGATTGGCAATTCCAGGGCTGTAATTTTCGAAATGATGCTGGTGAAGGTGTATAGAGTCTAAAAACTCAGTGGAGCATGTAAAAATAAGCAGGGTTAGTGTGTTAAACATATTCAGAGTGTGTGACTGAAACAAAACATGACTCTAGGTATGTTTGTGACGAGGAAACAACATTATACCACAGATCAGAAAACAGGGCACTTTAAAAGTGGTAGATGAATAAATGCAGTTAAGCCAACATGCCAGATATGTCAGAAAGTACATGAAAGTAGCAAGAGACTTTCTACATCAATATGTTGACCTTGAAGGCTGATTTTCCATTAACTGCCATTCCAAGGACACCTCTATAGCTTGGTCCTTGTTGGCTCCTTGAGTCATTTCCACAACCTGACATGCCAGATGGTCTGATTTACAGCGTGAACATATACGGTGTAGTGACTTAGTTGATGGTTCAAACCCATCTCCAACCAATGCATAGAGATATCGTTGTGTCCTTGGGCAAGACACATCATCCACCTTACCTGCTTGGCTGAATGTGGTGTGTGCAAGTGATTGGTGGTTCTCGGAGGAGCTGGAGCTATTTTTCATCTTTTGTTTCAAAAAAGTAGCATGAGTCAATGAATAATGCACACAGTTTTAAATCAACTTTGTGTGTCCAAAACAGCACTACAAAAACAAATGCATCACAAGAGAATATATGATTTTGTGGAAATCTTGTGATTAAAAACCATTACAAGGTCAAGGTTGTTTGATAATAAAAACATAATTTGTGAATGGTACTTTGAGACTTTTGAAGAGTCCCAGGTCCCTCGTGCCACGCACTGCTGTTCTTTGTCAGATTCTGTTTGCCACATGCATACACATGATCATGTGTTTATCTCAAATAGAAGCAGAAACATCAACAGCGCATCCTCTTGTTTTGTCTCATTCAGAACAATCTGACATTTGTGATCAGCCCACACTCTGCAGGTGCTTCATCTGCATGAGAATATCTTCAAACACACATCAAAGTCACCTTTTGGAGCAGTTGGCACAGGTACACACAGAGGCACACACATACGCACACATACGCGCGCGCACACACACACACACACACACACACAAACAGAGGTACACACAGAGGCACAGACACACACACACACACACGGAGACACACACAGGTTATGGATAAATATAAGTCTGTGATGGGACGCTAATGGATTCAGCACATTTGGATTTCAGCTCTAATTATACCTCTAGGACAGGGGCACAATCAAACATGCTTCATATTCATAGAACAATGTTCATAGAAGAATTCAGTGAAAACAGGGAAAGAAGTTCTACAACTAGAAAATAATTCATGTGACAAATTAGCTGAAGAGCATATTCTGTTCATCGTTTACAACTGCCAGTTGCACAAATATGGGTGATAAATAGAATTAATAATATACAACTAACAAAAAGTAAAGGTAGCATATTGCTTTTGTAAAACACATTTATTTTATGTTTGCTGGATATAAATTGTATATCAACAGTTTGTGTAACCCCTCATTTTTTCAGGAGTAGTACCTGGTATAATAAAAGTTACTTGTAAATGGAGTTCTATGAATCTTGGATGATCACTTGAGGATTACGCTAGAGGTCAGAAGGGATGAAATAGAAGGACATTAAACTGGTTAAAAAAAAAAAAACTGAAAATCTGTTGCTATAATATATTGTCATAATCATTTAAAATGTTTAAGAAACCTTATCTGTAGATTCTGAACAAGCATTTAGAGAGCCTATAGAGTTCCCATGAATATTTCCCATCACATACACTATGACTGTTGTCCCATTGCAGTATTTTCCTCTTCCTCCTCCTGCAGTGTGACAGTCTGATCCTGTGATATACAGCACCTCCTGGAAAACGTCCTTGATAAAGCACAACTGGGGGGTCTTCTCATCACTCGACCAGCCTTAGACTTCTCTATCTCTATGGTCTATCAGAGATTAAAAGACAGGGGGAGGAAAAACTATATTGCCAAGGCCGACACATAGATCACTGTCAAAGCTCTGGAAATGCATCTCGGCCTTCCACAAAGGACATTTTACCAGGAAATAGCCACCTCCCTCCTCTGCATCTCCCATCTCTGTTCCAGATGTCTTACCATAAACCTGGGCAGATATTGTCAGTCTTTAGGTGAGCCCATAAAATACTGGGAGAAGCAGACAGGAGCAGGAGAGAGGCGGTCCGTGCAGTAGCGGAGGGATTGTAGTTGGAGCTAAAAATGAAAAGCTAGCAGGCAGCCTTGGGTATCGTGAAGTCTTATCACTGGGTTACAGCTGTAGTCGCTCACACTGGCTCAGCTGACACACTTCGCTTTTGTGTGTGTGGGACAGGAGGGCTAAATCATTTCACTAAACAACACAGAGGAGGAGAGACAAAAGCATTAGAGAGGTGGTCATGTGGCCTTCCATTAGTTTGCGTGAGAATTATTATTTTTTAC